AGCATGGAGCATGGAGCATGGAGCATGGAGCATGGAGCATGGAGCATGGAGCATGGAGCATGGAGCATGGAGCATGGAGCTCCCGCCCCCCCCAGCGTGCAGAGCCGAGACTCTGAAATACCCCAGAACTGCACAGCCGCCCCGCCGCCCCGCAGCGTGCGGACACACTAGACCAGCTCCGCAAGCGCCTCGCTATGCCCCACCCCAAGCTTCACTGGCGGCGGTGCAGGAGCGAAGAAGGATTAGTAGGAGACGAAGAGAAGAGTTCAGCTCACCTGCCGCGGCAGCCCGATGCAAATGGCCGAGCAGAGCTGTGCGCCGCCTTTTATCCTCCGGGTCGCCACCGGAAACCGGAAGCTCTTCCCGCCTTGAAACCGCCAAAAACAAAAATAGAAGAAATCGGCTCCTAAAAAAGACCACTGCCGCGCTCTCCAGATTAGACTGCGGGGTATTTGACGACAGACGAAAATCTAAGACGTTTTAGAAAATTCAAAAATAATCCGGTTTTTGAAACTTGTGGACGGCGGGCTCTGTGGGGGACGTCACTTCCTGCGGCGGCGGCTCGCCCCTGTAGTAGCTGGATTAGATGAGAGAAGGAACAGGATCGTTTAAAATTTAATTTATTCCTTAATGTTTTAGCTGTTTTCTGTAGGTCAGAAAGAAGAGGTAGCAACTGTGTTCTCACAGTGAAATATATTCCTCAGGACAGTGGAAAGGTCACACGTTTGGGCACTCAGATAGCTCATTGATTTCAAGATTTCATCAAGTTCTTTCTTGGAAAAAAAAAACAGGTATAAATTCTAAAATCGAGGTTGGGCAGCTTGTTCCAGACACCCACCACTCTGTGTGTTCCCAGGGTCTGACACATTGCACTGTAGTTTCGCCTGGTGTAGGCCCCAGCTGTCCCAGCAGCCTCCTGCCTGCGGCTCTGTCCGAGCTGGGGTTGGAGCAGGGAGCCGGATCCCAGGCTCTGACCTGCTGCTGCAGGGTTACAGACAGGAGGGAGTGACCAGTCTGCACGTACACGGAGATGAGTGGATGTGGAGTTTCTCCTGGACGAGGGAGTGGCCCTGCAGGCGCACCTGAGTCACATGTAGAAGAGCAAGCAGGAACCTCCTCAGGACT